AGTGGCTCTATATGATTCAGATAGACATGAACATCGCCCATTGCATATATGAAATCACCTGGTGTTAAATGGCACACGCTGGCTATTATGTGGGTGAGAAGTGAGTATGAGGCAATGTCAAACGGAACACCAAGACCCAAATCACAAGAACGTTGAAACATAAGACAGGAGAGCTCCTTATCGGGTGACACATTAAAGTGGCAAAGAGTAGGACACGGTGGTAAGACCATTTCAGATAACTGAGATACATTCCATGAAGACAGAATGAGACGACGCGAATTCGGTTCAGTTTTTATTAAGTGTATGAGTTGAGCGAGCTGATCAATACCTTGATTTGTGTAATCCGTATAACAGCTGATATACGGAGCCCCCCAATGCCGCCACTGAAAACCTAGATTAAAATTATTTTTTAATCTTTTTGGCATTATTTAATAATGACTGTAAGGGTGAGTGTGAGTGGCTTAAGTTACTATCTTTATCGCCCATACACACACTCACCCTCAAAACATATCCATTGTAATAGAAAAGGAAAGAAAATAAGATAAAACAATGGAAATCGTTTTACATTAATTTTTCAGATCAATTTTTCTAGTGATACGTCGTAACCAAAACTCAAACTAATACGATGTCAAAATCAATATTTTCGATTCCAAAACTAGATCATACCCAACAGGTCGAAATGAGGACTTTTCGTATTGAGGCATATATTAGTCTGAAACCCATATTGAAGTTATAATCCTGCATTTACTGTATATTTTCTTCACATTTGTAGCGTCCTGATTATTCTCTATAAGTAGTAGTAATGCGCTTCGGTCAATAAATGATGAAAGACTAACGCTATTTCTAATCAAAACGAATGTATTTACCGTATATAGGACCGAGATCACCTTCGTCACGTTGCGTGAAACCCTGCTTGTCGAGAAACGCTCTTGATCCATGATCATTCCAAATTTTAACACCTTTAATGTCGAGCAATTTTGAATCAGTCTTTCCACCAATCATCCATATAAGTTCCTCAACAATGCCCTTCCAAAACATACGTTTAGTTGTAAGCAGCGGCAGTCGATTGTTTCGTAAATTGAATTTCATGTTTTGCGGACCAAAGATTGAACGAGTACCAACATCAGTCCGATCGGTTTTTTGCAAGCCTTTCTCGATTACTTGACGTACTAGATCTAAATATTGTGTTTCTTCAGCATTCTCTGTTAGCAAATTTTCGTAAGAAGCAAACATCTGAAACATTGAAACCGACGAATAGAATGTGATTGTGGATTGTCTCTAGGTTCTATATTCACACCCTCTACAACATGTGGAGAATGTATGGTTCGAGATTAGTATTTCGTTTTTTTTATTTTACTAAACTAAGATGAACAATCAACGTTTTTGATTCTCAATAAGCCGATGTACACTCGCAGTTTTGACTCTCATTCTCTTAGCGCGTTATGATGCGGTCGACTGTTATAAGTACCTTGATGTAACTAGTTCTAGATGCGCACGCTGCTGCATACTTACATCTTTACCATTGATCTCTTGGTTTATATCTTGAGATTGAATGATCGAGATGTAACTTGGGGAAGAAAACAATTAATAAAGAATATATCTAATGTAGCAAGTGTCCTAGGGCAAAGACAACAGCGTCGCAAACTGTCAATCCAGAAATGTGTAGAAATAAGACCAAAAGTAAGGCAGTAAAACGCTATTTCCGTCTGCCGCAATGATTTACATGCAGGTCAACGCGCAAAATAATGTTATGGATAAATAATAAGAAAATAGTACATTACAGTGAGTTCTGCTTCGACCAAGATAACGATGAAGATGAGTATCAGGTTACTTTTCATATTTTAAACGAGAAAAACAGCAAAAACTCGTCTGTTGTGAAGACTTGGAGAATGAATAGTGAAACGACTGATATATCGAAAGAAACGGCACACTTTCTTTTTTTATATCATAAATACATCGTCGATTACCCGGCTTATCGTGAAAGCTTTAACATTATATTAGAAGCATTTGATGAGAAAAATAAAAACGTGTCACTTGTTTTCATTGTAGCAGCCAAACAAAAATTTATTGTTTGGCTGATTTTTCTGAGATTTTAAGTTTCATTTGAAATATCGGGTTATAGTTAGTTCATATACGCAGTCACGCAGAGAGATATCTTCGTTAAAAATCATCAGTAATCTCCACATTGAGGGTGTAGGCGTGGGTATGAATATCCATGGCGTGTGATTACTATATCTACACCCGCACCCACTCGACAAATTTTGTTAATAACACTATTACAAAACGGTTACTTTGGTTTATGGTTTTAGATTAATGAAGAGAGATGTATAGCGACGAAAAAATGGGATATTTATATGCTTGTTCGAAAATTTAGTCTTTCTTTACTTATTATTCTCCCTTTCCAACTTTCATATTGACACAACAAAATATACCCATTATAAGTATATATAACAGAACAAAAAGAAGAACATCTACTTTTATGGATATTCGGTACAGGCGATATCCCTAATAAGAATTGGTTTTTCGGAGATGTTGGTTGCTTCCTGTCCTCAGTGGGTGTATTATAGATATAATATTTATACCTACACCCACATCCGCAAGGTGTGGGTGTGGGTGTGGGTGTGGTTTAGGTGCAGGTATTATATATCTTAATGACAACCACCCACATCCACACCCACACCCAAACTCACATCTACATCCACACCCACACCCACACCCTCACACACCCACACCCACACCCTCACACACCCACCCACACCCTTGTTTTTATAGTTTTTCAACATGATTTTATAGAAAATAAAAATTATTTCTTAAAAGCTTACTTTTTGGTACAACGATTGAAATTTCATTAATAAACAGTTGTGAATCTTCTTCGATAGAAATCTTTGTCGAATTATTTAATTTTTTTGTAATTTTAATTAATTTATCTTTTAAATAATTTAAATTAATTTCATTAAGTTCATTTTCTTTATGAATTTGTTTTATTTGTTCACTTAAATTATTAAATTTCATTTCAATATCATTAATACATGTTTGTAAAGATTCAACAATAATTTTTCTATAATCTTGTGCTTTTTGTCGAATTATTTCAATTGAATTTATTTCCCACTGATTAATTTGTTTTGTCAATGAATGATTTTGTTTTTTTTTCATCAAGTATTTGTTTAAGTTGATTATAATTATTAATAATATGATTTAATTCATCATTTAACATTTGTTGATGTTCTGTTAAATGTTGAAAACAAAATCTTTTTGAACATCCTTCACAAGAATATGTTAATTTGTTTTCATTACATGTAAAACATTGTGTGTTGTTATTTGCTCTTGCCATATCTTTGAATAGAAGTTTATAGAAGAAATGAGTATCTATGCTTATCTACTTTCATGAATATAAACTTGATGACGCAATGATAATAAAAGCATTGTTTGGTAGTAGAAGAAATCGAAAAAGAATTCTGTTGTGACATCAAATTACTAATTGTAACAAAATCTCACTGATGAGATCTTCAATTAGGAAGAAAAGAAAAAAACACGTTTTATATTTTGATGAAATAGGTTTTTAGTGCTTCATAAAGAAACAAGACTGAAAAATGAAAAGTAAATAAGATGAAGAAAGTTGGAAATAATTTCAACTTAAATTAATATTTTCAGTAATTTAGTTTTGTTCGTTGATGAAATTGAAAATCTTTTGAAAATAAAAATGTTGATAAAATAGAAACGATTTAATTGAAAAACAAAAGCCTATATCGAAGTAAATAAATAAGATTTCATCATAAAAACGAAAGTATTGTACATAAGTGAATTATCCGAAAACGTTTTTCTATATATCTCAGCATTGATACATAAAATATCTGTGATGATTGAAATTAATGATCTTTTTCCTGATTAAAACATATTTACAAAATGATTTATTCTTTAAAATAAATTTTCTCATAGAAATTCTATAAAAATTTTGATTTGACAAATTTTTAAATAAAATTAATTTTTCTCAGATATAAATAACTAAATTTATTTTATTTGTAAAAGATCAACTAATTTAGAAAGATTAAATTTAATATTTTCAATGATTAAATAAAATCATCAATATTTAATAAAGATAAATTTATTTTTATTTATTAATCAAAATAAAATAAAAATCTTTATAATTGAACAAGATATTGATCATTAATTTTATTATATTGAAATCAGAATAATATTTTTAAAATACAACAACAAAATTTGTTCAATATTATTTCAATACGAATATCATCTCAAGTCAATCTTTGAAGAACTTGATAAATATTTTTTGAATTCAGAGTGAATATACGAAAGTTTGAATATTTCTGCAACACTGCATTGTTTTTTTAAAGTGAGAAATATGATGGTCTGCCATTTTTGCAAATCAGTCGTATATTATATCATGTAAAAAAAGTTCTATAATCGTCAATTAAATGTAATATCAAATAATCAACATATTATCAAATATAACCACGTTCTTATTTATTATTCTTCTCTTTTGTTTATGATAATAATTACATTTGTACGACATATCTTTGTATTTCACTATTTAAAATCTGTTAAATTACTATATATCGACACGATTCAATAAGCACAGTTTGCGATGTGTTGTACCATCTTTTGATTCCATTCGTATTTGTAATCAATTAGTTAATTAAGACAACACCAAGGTGGTTAATATATTTAGTAATAAGTAAAACAAAAATTAAAAGCAATTTTATAAGTCGATTAAGCTTATCAAAACAACAAAGACAACAATAATCAAAAGAAAAATAATTAAGAACAATGTATTCATCAATACTTCCTATGTCTCATGCGACAATATTTCACCAATATTTTTTTAAAGCTGTGAATTATAGAGATAGGCAAATATTGATTTAAACAAGTTTTGCGGGTTATTTTTAACAAACAAAAAGCACATTCAAAGCCGTTTTTCTTTAAGTTGAATTCTTTCTGTCAATAGTCCATGAAATGTTCTAAATCTCCAATGAAATTGAATTTATTCATTGATGAGTGATTCTACTCATATTGAAAAATTCCCGTTCACAGCATTCACATGTGTTTATCAGAATACATAAACTAATCGTCGATGATTGGATGGCAACAGCAATATCCATCCGACCATCACGATTAAAATCAGCTGCAGCCATAGTGAGCAAAGACATTCCAAATGGAAACGAAAATGTCATTGGTAATCCAAAGGTTCCATTCCCATATCCAAGAAGCACTCCCACATTCCAGACTGCGCCATTCAGGACAGCGATGTCGAGCATACCATCGCCATTGAAATCTTCAATAGCAGCCGAGCGTGGTGCACTAAAATATCCCGTTGAAAACGTCATTGTTGGTCTGAAAGTTCCATCGCCCTTTCCAAGAAGTACAGCTACATTGCTCAGGCCTATGTTTGTGACGATAATGTCTAGATAACCGTCATTATTGATATCAGCGGCACCTATCCAACTCGAAAAGATGATGCTTTCCTGTTCATTGGCTATGGGTGGTCCAAAACTTCCATTACCATATCCTCGAAGCACAATGATCCGTGGCTCATTTAATTTGCCGATAGCAATGTCTAATAGTCTGTCATTATCGAAATCACCAACAACAAGTGACATCGGAGGACTGTTCTGTCCTGCCGAATATTGTTTACATCCTTCGAAGAATCCATTACCATCTCCAAGCAACACTCCTACACTACGATCACCGAGAATTCCACTTAGAGAAGCAACAATGTCTAAGTTACCGTCACCATTGAAATCACCGGTGTCGAGCCATATGGGACTACTAGCTCGTCCTGTTGAATATGATGTTGTCTCACGAAACGTTTCGTCACCATCTCCAAGTAAGATACCTAGTCTACCTTCGTATCTGATACAAGCAGTAACAATATCCATCTGAACATCCTTATTGATATCAGCGACAACGACATATGCTGCAGGATATCCACATCCCGTGTCTGTCATTGTTGATCTTATAAAGGAACCATTGCCGTTTCCAAACAGTATTGCAATACGGGGCGAGTTAGCGTGAAAAAGAGGTATAAGAATATCCCATAGACCATCATTATTTAAATCACTCACAGCAATTGCCCCATTTAATGTGTCGTCAATGTGATATACATTGTTATATACATAGACTTTTTCAAACGTTAACTGACACGATGATGATGATGCTAGGAAAAGGAAAATATAATAATATATGTATGTAAATAATTCATTAGAAACAATTAAGTGAAGATGTATGTCACTGATAAAAATCTGATAAACTAATAAAATAAGAGTTTATCGAAACTGAGCTTATGAGAAAATATGATACTGTAGTTTAGACCAATAGAAAACAAATTATGATAACTATATTTATATCAAAGTTATGAACATTGCAGGAAGTACTAAACGCAGATATATTGTCAATTACTTTCTTAAGTTTAAATTGTTACAATAGATTAAAACATACCTAACTCCATCAAAGACATTCAATTACTCATCGTCAATTTTATCTATTCATCCATTTAATAAATCAAAATATTAGAATATCAACTATATATATGGAACGTTTTTTGTAATAAAAATTTCAGAGTATTGAATATCATTCAGAAGAGTTTCGTTATTATTAGATTTTAGTGATTCAATACATAAGCGTGATAGTCCGTTTCGACATATATAATAAAATGAATAACATCAAAAATCCTTATTGAATATCTGATCTTTAATAGATATGAATTATACTAACTCACATTACTTACTTACTTTGTCATCTTACTTTCTCTATCTGCAATAGACATAAAACAAATAATTCATTAGAATCATTTTGAAAGCAATTTTCTCTTTTAGATCTTCTTTATGTTTAGAATAATACGGGCAAAATGATAGACAATCCTAAACAGTATATTGAAATGAATTAGATGAGTAAAATGTGCCATCTTTTTTGCTGAAGAAGCTTTTATTCTCAAGATCAAATATTCATAAATTAGATAGAAACAAATACTATACTGTAGTATTGAAATAGTTATCTGAAATTTATGGATCGACTCTACACTCTATATTAAATAATAACGCTCACCGAGAACTACCGAATGACATGAAATTATCTAAAGAAAAGAGTTTAAAAAAATCATTTTGTGACAAAATATTGGTAAATTCCATGTGTATTGATGATCACTGATATTCAATCAGTATTATATGATAGTAACCGTTATGTGAAAATATATGATTTCATTTGAAAACTTTCTTGTATCATTAGAATGTAATCAGATCTACCCAGTGATACTAAACTATTTAGGTGAAAAAGTGAGAAAATAAAAATTATATTTAAATGAATAAGAAATAATAGATTGAAAGAGTAACTCATATAGATTGTAAGGTCAATATTTTACACTTATATATTACAAATTTCGACAAATCGTCATGATATTAACTCAATAATGTCAGAACATTTGAAATATAAAATGGGAGTAATGTGTTTTAGATGGAATCGAAAAAACATTAGAGAAAGACAAATATCACTCATTCGCATCATGGATTTCACAGGGATAAAAAGAATAGAATGAACGAAAAGAATTTAAGAAGATAGCTTTTTAATCAGAGAAGAAAACAGAGCACATGGGAATACACTTATGATAAAAAGGTTTTGCATAACGGTTATGGCAACATAAACTAGAATAGTGCTTCTCAATTCAGTATATCTGACTTGTGTTTCCCTTATTATATAACTACAGATCAATAGTTAAATAAACTATGTCAAAAACATTCAATTTTTTCAGCATGTCAGATACTTGACTATTTGCTACTCTTGACAATTAACTAAGAAATATTCTTCAGACAACTGTCAGAAATATACTAACACATAAAAAATTAAGTTTCACACAATTTAGATTATTATAATATAGTAACATTTGTAATAACGAAAAGCACATATTTCGTTAGGATTAGTTCGCCGAATGACAATAGAACTTTAGGGTGTGGGTGTGGATAGTATTCATGTCTTAAAGTAATTCACACCCAAATCTAGCTTCATAATCGGCTTTTCGATTTTTCATGAAGCCAATCGTGTTCAAGCAGATTGAGGATGCATTAACCATTTAATAAATTACTTACAATTAGTTATAGTTGATATTGCTCTTTCTATCGCCCATACTTCCCAGCCACGTTGGCTTTGATATTTTGGCGGATAAGTGGTGCAATAACGATACTTACATTGCTCAGTAGCTGGATTAAAATCGATTGCTGTACAATGAGTCAAAAACAGACAAGAACTTTCACAAAAATTCATTGTTGTCGACGGACTATAGGCAACTTCAACACAATTTGCATTACCAATAACACTATCAGATGCAATTTTGACCCAAACCACTGTAAAATAATAAATTCTCGCAATTTAACAGCAATTAATAAAACTCACTATCGAGACAATGATGAACTCTCTAGGAGCGTCATAATTTAGATAGTAAGCAAATATTTGCAGTTCAAAGCGTACTACCTAACTGTCGAGAAACTAGTGGAACACCGTGAGTTTTAAATGAAAATGATTGAGGAAGATATAAAACTTTTGTAAATTCTAGTGCGAACTTGGAGGATGAACGATCATTTGAGTAGTTGACTGTTTTGAATGTATCGATTAATTACTATACAACAATCGTATATCGTATCCCGACGATTACACTACCATTCTTGTATTTATGAAAGTACACGACCTCTGCATGATATCGATCGTTTATCATTCTCTTTTGAGTTCTCGCTTTCTGTTTTATACGAAGAGAAATTGTCTATATTGATATGTGAATAGTATTCATAGTAAGAAATTGTACACACAAACATACTGACATTTAAAAGGATGTTTCGATTAATAAACTGTACACTTTAAAAAATGAGTGTAGAATAATTCTTTTTCTTCGTCAACTACGAAAGGTATATTATACTTTGCACTTTCATAAACGCTTTAGGGTATATGAGGAGTAATATATCCTTGAAGAGTTTTTTAACTTCATAAATCCTTCGAAAAAGAATTTTTTATTCTACGGTTTCTTATCAGTGGTATATTATTAAACGATTTTCCGTAGAGTTTATGAAGTTAAAAAACCCTTTAAGGGTATATTACGGTTCATATACCTTAAAGCGTGTATGAAGGTGCAACGTATAATATACTCTTCCAATGGTTGATGAAGACAAAGGGCTTATGAAAGGGTTTATCATACGAAAACGGTATATGAGAGGGTTTATGAGATTAAGCACACCTTTTGAAGGGTTTATTATTCTACACTCATGTTTTACAGTGTAATAAATTCTACTACTTTATACTAGTCTTCCGTCTCATGTATCAGCCTAACCGTTTGAAAAGGAAGCTCTCACATATCACTTACTCACTGCAAACACAACGGCGTCGGAAACGGCCTTAACCGATAGAAAACCGGAAAAATACGGCCAAAAAACGGTTCCAGAACGTCACCGTAGTCCGTCAATCCTGAAATGTATAAGAATAAGGCGGAAAACGATGACCGGTTTCTAATGAAAAAACGGCTCGTATTCTCGGTTGACAGATTACGGTGAAATACAACTAAAAATAAGGCAGGAAAACGCCGTTTCCCACAGCCGGAATAATTTACCGGAGTATGTCCACTCGATCTAAATAAACAGTATCGAAAACAAACAGAGCCGAACTCCTACAAATAATATTCCATTTTATATCGCCTGTCACTTCTAGCTTCATAACCGGCTGTTCGATGTCTCATGAAGCCAGCCTTTTTCAAACAGATATAAGGTATGCTCGCCATTTATTAAATTACTTACAACTGGTTGGGATGGCCCATACTTCCCAACCACTTTGGCTTCGATAATTTGGCGGATAGGGAGTGCATTGACGATACGTACATTGCCCAGTAGCTGGATTAAAATCGATTGCTGTACAACTAGCCATAGCCAGACAAGCACTTTCACATGAACTCAGTGTTATCGACGTATTATAGCCAATTCCAGCACAGTTTTCATCACCAATAACACTATCGGATGCGATTTTGACCCAAACCACTGCAAAACATTAAATTATCGTAATTCAATAACAATTAATAAAATTCACCATCGAAACAATGATGAACTCTCTAGGAATATCATAATTTAGATAGTAAGCAAAGATCGATGGGAAAACAACAGAGACTTTATGCATCAAGTCTCATAATATCTTGAAAGTATTTTAAAATCTTAAAAGTCTATCGGAGTCTTTGAAGTCCCTTGAAGTCGGTGAAGTTTTTTGAAGTCTTTCGAAAAACTGAAGTTTCGCTTATTGAAGTCTGTGGAGGTCGTTGAAGTCCTGAAATCTACTATTTCCTCCTAGGCAAAGATTTTCAGCTTACAGTGTACTAACTAGTCGTTGAGAAACTAGCTGAACATCGTGAGTTTAAAATGAAAATGATTGAGGGAAATATAAAACGTTTGCAAGTTCTAGTGCGAACATTGAGGATGAAAGATCATTTGAGTAATTGACTGTTTTAGATGCATCGATTAATTATCATACAACAATCTTGAGGGGTGTGAGTGGATGCGGATGTGGATGAGAAAATAACACGCACACCCACACCCTCTCTATAGAATTTTCTGAAGAACTTTTAAAAAGTTAGTCGATTGAGCAAGTAGAAGTACTCTAGTATCAATATTGAAAACATGAAAAGTACTTGTAGATACTGAAGTACCTAACGGTTCTTCAGATATACTAGTATCGGGTACCTTGGAAAATAGATTGCGTTAGTTTTATATGAAAAAAACAATTGAATGTGGAAATGAATGAATGGAACATTTAGAATAAAAACATCATGTATCACAATGTTTTTTGGCTGATATTATATGATCAAAACAGAGATTGATAAATTGTTTAATGTATAGTGTCGAATAAATGAGATAGTCGAATTTTTATAGTTATCCTTTTACAGTAAAAATCATAAAATACAATTATAATGAGAGTTTGATTTTCCTTTTTAATGACCCTATCTTTAAAACAGAACAGTTTTAATCTTCAGACCTGTTGATGAAGAAATTGTTGTCGGTGTTGAAGAGAATGTTGTTGTTGATATATTAGTTGTCAGCATTTGTGTTATGTTGTTAGTTGTAGTTGTAGTTATACTAGTAGTAGTGTTGATTAATGAAGCTAACAAAGAAATAATCATTTACTCAAATACAAATTCAAATAATAATTAATAGAGAAAGTTCACAAATGTTTCTAGCAGAAAATTATGTACAACATTGAAAAGTCCCACTCTATTATGATTCAATGCTTATAAACTTGTCCTAAATTTCAGCAGACGTGTCTATAGATAATGCTCATTAGATATTTGGTTATCCAATACAATAATTTGCAGTTATTTTCAAAACAAGTTTTCTTCTATTTTCTATGATAATCTGAAGTTATCTCGTAAAATAATGTAGTTAATCTAGTTTCTTAGTTAAGAAGACTCAAGCGATTTTGACATGAGATTCTGGTAAAAACAAAGATTTTTGTTATCAACTATTAGAAACTTGTGAGATTTGTATCTGCTAACTAACTCTATTTGATTTGTCATTATGAAGAAACACAGTACTTTAGAATTGAATGACAGATTTTTATCGTTCCAATAAATTCAATTTTAACATTGTGAAAGTTATGTGTAAAGAAGATTATACCTGATATTACAGCTTGATTTTTTTCATTTGGAATTATTGTTAAAAAAGAAAGAATGATCATGAATAATACAACGAATATCAGAATAATCCAACAGATCAACTTGTGAAAGCATAGTAGAAATGAACCATAGTGTGTCCTAATACAAATAGAACAAGACTATCATTAATATGGAACAAAAAAAACACATACGGAGGTGGCAGATCATTAGATTCTGATTGTAAATTGATAGTCTCAGGCTGAATATTCCTTTGACGAGGCATTATGTCAACAATTGTGATGGTTGTCATCGAAATATTGTTTTCACATTGAACAACGTTTGTTCGCTTCTTCCGATATCGATTAATAACAACTAGAAGACGTACTAATATAGGAGAAATCCATTTGAGGATAAACATAAGACCACCAGAAATACTAAGTACAGATGTCACTGTATAGAATGAATTGAGCTTTTGAATATAAGTATATGAACACAATTTTGGTGAACATTGGTCAAAATACAATGAATAATTTACTGCTATTGACCAGTTTTCAACGAAAAGATCATTGACGAGATCATTGACAGTTGTATTAATTGGAAATCGGCTCGCACCGGTGATAAGAGGAGGAGTATTCATTTCATAACTGCTGTTGGTTTGAGTTTGAATTATATTTATACATGAATAATTGTAAAAACATTCAAGTGTTGACCGAAGAAATGATTCGCTTGGTGTACAACCCATTTTTAAACCATTGATGGTAATTATTTCCGATAAATTCTTATTAATAAAAGTAGCTTGAATAGTGCACGTTCTATTCAATATACATGAACATTGATTATCATACAGGACTTCCACAGCGTATGAACGAAACCATATCCCGTGAGCAATGGAATCTGAACCTCCGAATATAAAATTCGTTCCATAGCCTGATACAAGTCTATTTCCATGGTTTGCTGATTGAAGGAAAAAGAGAAGACGAGCAAATATAACCAGAGCATTTGATTTACTTTCGTCAATTAGTACATTGACTTGTGAGTTTAAAATCGTTTCTGTAATAATATTCGTAGTCACCAACGAAGAAGAAAGAAATTGATTGATAGAATCGTTTATTGATTGAATAGAAGATTGGCATAGACCCTTAAGAAATTGCAAATGGGCTGAAAGGAAACGTCGATAATCGTGTGTATCATAAATAGATAAATCAGAAATCAAACCATTCGTAAGATTAGTTCGCCATTTATCCGAAACAAATATACTTGAACAGACCTGTAATAAATAAGAATGTATTCAAGTTCGAATTAGCATCTTAGAATATCGGAACAATAATTTAATAGGCATTATATATTTTTCTTTCAGTAAAATATTAACATGATCTCCACAGATTTTAACTTGATTTTTTTTAACGATTTATCTGCAAGTAACGCACTTAGATTTCAGCAAAGTTTAACTAATTATTGATTCTGAGCGACTCGGCACAAACGTTGAAATTCGGTGCATACTATAAAGTTCTTCAACGCTTATAACTTTCGTACTAGTTGGTTTACTGATTTATGTCTTATAATAAAAGAATATGTCGACAATGTATTTACATAAAAAGCACTCTTGTTATTGGGAGATGTTAGAGAGATGAGGAATTCTGCTAATACTTAAGTGATAAAAACACATATTTAAGCAAGTTGAGAGTGGAGAATTACGGCTGTCGTATAGAGAAAGATATTTTGCGAAATATTGTATTGTTCCTTGACTATAGTTAAAATTCTGTCGAAATACGCTCATCATTTTTAATTCATTGGCAAATGTATACACTATACTTCTTGTTATTAAGACTGTCAGTCGGCTAGGTAAGACTGCTAAGCTCTCTGCTAAATTAGAGTATTAGTCTGGCTTGCAATGTTTAAAAAAGTTGGCATGATAAGTAGTAATCTTATTCAGAAATGTTAAACATTTCAGGACCTAGTTCCGCATCGGAATCAATTCCGTTCAATTCCTGGAACTCGATCGACACATAACATCCGACACCAATAGACAATTGATCGAGTTCCGTCAACTTTCGGAATCGGTCGATCTTGGCTGGCTCTGTTATGTTGTGTGTCGATCGAGTTCCCGGAATTGGACGGAATCGATTCCGGTGCGAAACTGATTCCTCCAATATTCAACATTGCGGAATAGGATGCATTCTCATTATTAATTTCTGAAAATAATCACGTTCTAGTTGGATTACTCTGGTTAATCATTAGTCGGATCAGCCGTTGAAATGAATAAAAATCTTACCTCATGAAAAACTGGTTTTATTTCAATAAATTGACTGTATGTTGACGAAATTGACGAACAAGGACATTGAAGTGTATCACTATGGTCACGTAAAACACGATTATAGACATTTAAACTTGGTTCATTAATACTTTTCGTCAACATTTGAGGCTGAACACCAATATAAATAATAATAATTGTAAGACTAGTAATGAATAAGACAATATATAGACGAGTGGACCATTGGCCAAGACGTTTAGCAGTCATTCGATCGGTGTTACTTCCAAAACGCCATAGAGGAAATATATTCAAATCGATCATTGCAGAAGATGCTTGCATTATTATTGTCAAGAACATTTTCTTTAATCGATCTTTTAATTTTGGTTTAACTATATTAAAAACAAATTTTAAGATATCTATCTTGAATGGGAAAAGAAATATAAATCTCTCTTAAATCAGACGTGGACAGCTCCAATTCTGGCTCTGGAGCTAACTCCTATAGTCGGCTTCGGTTTCAGCTACGTTCTCCAGAGATTACTCAAATCTCAGTTCTATTTTGGGTAACTTCGTAACGGGTCTATTTTTCCACTATGATTTGTATGAAAGATAAACAAGACTGAATGAAACTCTTATGATGTGTAGGGCACTACGATTCATATATCCCTTTGACAATATCAGCTTCATTCAGATTGAATGGATGCAAATATTGAAGTGAGAAAGTGGCGAAAATATGATTTCGTCACACTTGGACAAGTTGAGCTACGACTTGTAAATAATATCTATGTATGTCCTACAAAATATCCAATCAATAATTACCTTCATTTTGTCTTTTAGGAGTTCGTTTGAATAAATTAATAACAAACTTGGCAAGTAAATTTATACCAATACGTAGTACTACAGTAAGAGTACTAATCACGGACACCAGTGCCACTAATACTCCAACGAAATTTTTTGTATGTGCAATCTGCGAATAAGTACAATAGATTGGTGCACATGCTTCCCAATACTGTTCATATGACGACGATGGATTCCATTGTTCGATCATTATGTCTTCCATTATCGTTAAAAGCGTTGTGTTAGGAGGAAAACGGCTTGACGTTTGATTATAAATGAGAGGACTAACATTGAAATTCGATTGACTAGTACAACAGAGTAAACATAATGTAGGTGAGTTTAGATCAACATTAAAATAAATGATTTGTTAGATTCATTTAGAAACTTGTTTCATAATTGATCTTTTTTTGTAAATAGATCTTATATTTTTATATGTTTTATTGAACGAAGTTTTTCATAAAAAACACTTATGAACTATTTAGACTTTCTTTGCTTAAAAGTAAACTAAATGAGTTCAGCTATAGTTTATCTGATCATTAGTTTACCAATTGCATATACAATTCAAGTCTTGCTTTTAAGATATTGAAGACACGATCAAATATAATCTTCCTCTAAATAAGTTGCGTCCTAATATAGATGAGTTTTTAGGATAAACACATTCGAGATCGTTTTACAGCGATCCATGAAAATAAATGACTTCACTTTTATATATATATCAGATAATAATCTACTAGAAACAAGATTTTCAGCTCTGAAACAATCTTGCACAATCATTTAACAAAGACAAAAAATAATCTAATAAGTTTTTATTTGCTCAAGCAAAACTCATTTGTTACATATTCTTAAAATGAAACGACTGATATTACTATGCCGATATCAATGTCTATTCGATGTTAGACTTTAAGTCCACTACTTATCATTGTTACGAATTACTATTTGAAATTCCAATAAGCAACGAATTAGTCTTGCTCGAATACTTTTTCAGATAAACCTAATTGATAATGTTAGAGAATCGAGTATTCAGAAATTTGAAAATTGATGTGAAGTCTTAAGGCAAGTTATATCACCATTTTTCATTAACTACAAAATGCTCTGGAAAAAAATCAAAGCCACTAATGGAGAATCGGTATACAAAGTTCTCCCTATCTATATATACATATATAGAAACAGATCTTATTCAGTGTCAGTTTTGAGTAATAAACAAATCTGAGAACAAGATTAAATGAGATCTGCAAAAACTTTTGTGAGATTATCATGCTTATAATATTATAGAATGGTCTTTGTAAGGCTGCTTGCAGAACTTTTGAAAAATCAACCAGATAAAATATTCTGAAATTGTCTAAGATAAAACCGAAAAATACTAATCAGTTAAGCACTAAGCATTTTTCATATTGATCTTCTTTTTGTCTGTACTAATGTCTACCTTAATCCTATCAATGAATTGATTAAATAAGGATCCTGATGTACTGACATTAGTAGTTTCAAGAATTATTCGTACTATTATTACATATATGGTCATGAACTGATACTGTTCAAAATGCAGTAAACTCGTATAACTAGACTCACCATTGCACTCATGTTCAAATTTAATTACATTCCTGTTTCTCAATTTTTCATGATGTTATCGAAGGTAATGTTGTATTAATCTCTATCGATTTTGTTAAGAGCCAAAACAGCGCGTTTAGCAAAAACAAAAGTAGCAAAATACAATGACACTCATAAGAGATTGCTCAAAAATACTGAAAGATTGATTTCCTCTATGAAAGACATTTCTTACTGGTTTTCTCAGCTCAGATTTTAATGTTGCAGGAATATTTGCTCATCACTTGGACGCAAAACGTAGTAAAATCTTATATTTAATACGTAAATAGAAAGAGTTTTTGACCTCTTTTGTGAACACATAGTCCGATTTTTTCTTAAATATATTTTAGCGCATGAAAAGCAAAAGAATCTTTTATTACGAACTTCTATACCATGCTTTATATGGAAACAGATTATATGACTTGAAACAAGTTTTTAGATGAGTCTACTAGGAGAAATTACTCGAAGCTAGCTCTAATTTTAGTTACTTACAAGGTTTCATCAGTTGTGTAATATAATAACTTTGATAAACAATCCGAATCCGAATATAAACATTCGAATGTAGACAGAAGAAGAGAATCAACAACAAAACAACTGGCAATCGCGCCTGGTACTTTGTAAGCAGGCAGCTGAAAGGGACTCCATAATCCTGGTATATTAGTATAGAAATAATACGGTTGTTGACAATAAGGATCAGTAGCACAAATACAACTAATAATTTCCACTCCATTATGTTTTTCATCATTTAAAGTTCCCACAGTGATATTTGGCACTCCAGTAAATCGTAATTCCAACTAAAAAGACAAGAAAGAACTATATTTTCTCGTTCATCGATTCTTAAAATCAATTTTAATTGTTAATAGAAACTCTTTCCCAACCCAAAATGAAAATTTTTTCAAGCAGTTATGTTATAATGGACGATCACTCGTAAAGAAAAAGATTTCGAATAAAGCATAGTTCCAGTTGAAAAAATGAAGTGTGAAATATGATTAGGCCTCAATTTTCATGTCACATTGTCATATTCTTTCTCACATCTATCTGTATGTTTTCAGTTTCTGCACTATATAAAGTAGTGATTTCTTTTTTGCATAGAACACCCTCGGTATGGACCGATATAATGATCAATCTTTGTCCATATTAGCGCATCTGTCCTTATCCACCACTGTAAACGACAAGATAATGTAAGTCGTGCACTACTCAGAGCTTTATCGACCATATATAGATCAAGCACTTCCCCAATTGTCAGTTTTTTCTTCAAAGAAATGTGAGCTGTGTTTGGCGATTTCGTGATACTATTAACTAAGTATTTTTTCGAAATATTTTCAAAAAATAAAAATATCAATGGACACATATGTGCGTCTACTTTTAAAATATAAAGGTGCAGATAATATCCTTGGTCCTTTCGGTTGATCAAGGAGAAAGCTGTCAGTGTGTGCGAAATCTAGTGAAATTACCCAAAGGAAAATTAAATAATGCTTTCTTAAATTATCTGTTATTTTAATCAGTTGTGACATTTTCTCGAGAAAATGTTGCTTTCTCTCGAATAATATTTCGTTAGAAGCTGAAGCTTTCACTATAAATCTATTCTATGGTCAGCTCAAAATGATCCAGACATTATTGACTGTTCTCTGTTAATTAGCGAGAAATAAAAGAGAAAATACTGGTAGTCTGTTGAAATATATTTAGCAGAAAAATCACTATTATTGTCTCTTATTCTCAGATTTTGACTGCATAAAAAATATCGTTAGAAAAGTCTACAGTCAAAAATTTCCACTCACTTTTTTATCTTATCGAATACTTTAAAATACTTGTGTTTACTTTCAAATTGGCTTTAGTAGATTGAATGTTATCCGTTGTTTTTCAAAAATGACTGAAGTGTCTGTTTAGATACGTTTCGCAAAATTCAATTAATCAATGAAAACTAACGCTAACATCTAATTTATATATATGATTAGAAAGATTATTTTTATAAGCGAGTGACTCAAAAGTTGCTAGTTTTGAAGTTTCCTGTTTAATAGTCTAGAACAACACGAAAGAGAAAAAATGTGAATGCAGATTTGTGCTCATCTATCATGTGCATCCATATCCATTGTCGATATTCTACATTTTATTCTATCTACTACTGTTTACAAAGATGCGCACAAAATAAGAGAATTCCCACAAAAATATTCGCAAATTTTTGATTCCGAGATTCAGAAATTTGGCTATGAAAATAATGTCGACGAAGTGTGTGTGAAGCATATTTTTGAATAATAGTATACCTCTGCTATCGGCACGTTGTTTATTGACGCGGTTTTGAACTGTAATTGTACGTTAAATTGTGGCGAAACCCGATTGTATTGTCCCTCAAAATAGAGATCAACCTGATTGGAGTGTCCCGTAAAATATTGATCAACCTGATTGACAAGACGTATAATATCGAGAAATCTACTATAACCAGTGCTTGTTGATTGAATAAATTGATCGATAGTTGTATTCAATTGAGCATAGAAATGATTTTCAGTGAATAGATTTGAAGTGACAAAGGATTGCATGAGAAAACGACCAAGAGCATTATTGGCAGTAGCACTAGCCTGCTGACAGAAAATTAACAACAAATTAAATCGTTCGATACTTTGAGCGCGCCAGTCTTTGTCAACCCAAGTGCCCGCATTTGAAAGTAATGTAATCCAGTCCGTACTGACAAAGTCGCTCGAACACACCTGATGAAAGATTGGAGTAAAAGAGATGAAAGTATCATAAGGTATTTCTATCTTTGAACAAGGGCATTTGAGTGTATTTGGATATAAATCTTGTAAGTAATTGTAAGTGCTGAAAGTTGGAGTTGATACCGTAATGGTAGTAGTTTGCGTATTCAATGAATTGAACAGTACAAGAACGAGTATGCAAACTAATAATGTAAATCAATAGATTAATAAAAACAACATAAATAAAACTTGATTCAATTTCATAAAATCAGCACTCATTAGAAAGTCTAGAGAATGCAAGAAAATCTCGAAAGGTAGAATATGGATGTGGATATTAGTGTCGTATTCACATTTTGTTCCGTCTCCGATGCACACTCATACCGTCATATCTATTCGGCTTTATCTCATTCAATATATATGCAATCAGCTATCGAATTCTAAGAACTATATATGGTTTCCTTTTCAAGTCTATATTGATTTGAGTTGTATCTCAACTCACTTTTTTAGCTATTGAGAATAGTAAAATCATTTGCATTAAACATAATCATACCTGTTAGCAAGATTAAATAAATACGCGTGATGATTTGCTGTTGCCTGATATTGTATGATGCTCGATCATTAATCGAATTGAACAGATTTAACTGTTTTGCCCATACAATGAACTCACTAATATATATCATGCAATTCACTATAAAACAAAATACCATTGAAATTTAAAGTAAAATCTCATTTTATTCCAGTTCAAACCTACCATAGTTATTATGAGTGTGCATTGCAAAGCGTTTAATCTTCGATAAGACACTGATTAAGAAAGTTGCGATCAAACGAAGTATGAGAGTGAGACCGCCATACAGACTAAGTAAGAGAGTGATTGTGTAAGAAACATTGGCTTGATCTGTTGTTGTGTATGTGCAAGATAAAGGAGCACAATTAGCCATATAATTCGAATAAGTAATGTGTGTCAACCATTCATCAATGAAGAACTTGCTTACGCGATCGTATACACAAAGATTTTGTTCACTTGAAAATAAAACAGAGTCTGTCACGTTCAAGTTCGTCTAAAAGAAGAATATTTTTAAGGTGAATAATACTGTATCATACAAACTTTATTCAAAGCTGGGAAGCTTTTTACAAATAGTTGAAGACATTCGACATCGTATAAACAATCGAGTGTACTAATAAGAAGGCTCTCCATTGGTAAAAGTCCTCCAGTGAATCCGTTGACAGTAATATAGCTACCAAATGGACCATTGATAGCATAAAAATAGTCAAAATTGTATCGGCCTAGATGATCGATATCAATATCAGCGGCTGGAAAAGGGTATAAGATAGCTGCCATGACCCCCGTCTTTTCTAGAGTACACTTAGTTTGAGACCAGGGTCTACCAGCAGTTGGCCCATAAAAATTAACTGTGGCTGCTCGGACTTGAACTTGATATGTATCGAGAGAAGCCGAAAATAAAGTATTTGATTCAGTTGTCGTTCGAAGAAAAGTCAGAGCCGAAGCCAGTTGAACATGCAAGTTATTTTGAGTAAGTGTAACCATTTCATTGACTTGTGATCGAACTTCATCTTCTGTAAGGAGTTGAATGGTAACGAACTGATTCATACCAAGATCAGCGACGGTTTGATTAACTGTCCCTTGATAGAACGAACAAAGAGCAGCCAAAAGTTCGAACTAAATAAAGAAAAATAATACAAATAACTACTTCTGATTTTATCATTCAATACAATAGATATATGGTAGAGTAAAGGCATTCTAGTAGAAGGAAAAGAGAGAAATGATCTGTTGGATTACCATGGCTTATTACCCGAATCATTCTGCTCTATCATTATTAGAATTATCATCTCTTCATATCTGTGCACGCTTACATAACTGCTATGGGGAAATGTGGTTGGAATCGCTTTCAAGAGCAAAACAAATTAATCTAGATATATAACGGTTATGAACGAAAGAAAATAATAGCTATGTTCATGATGATGAACAAGTAAAAAATGAACGATCCCTAAGTGATGTCATTAATCATGCGCCATACCTTTCTGTTTTCTATCGCATTTTTTGTTGATTCATTATTGATCTATCATCTTATAGAAACCCTTTCTTCTTTCATGTTTGCACACGTGTATTCAAAAGACCAAAATTAAAATTTCGATTGATGTCTCATATACTGACGTGATCTATGATCACCTCAAGAACTATCTTTAAGCATGCTTCGCCCTTTTTTAGACTGAAAGTAAAATAGAACTATCTTCTCGCGAGTTCATAACTACCTCATAATACTTTGAAAAACAATTGGGAACTCTGAAGTAGTAGAAGAAATTGAGGTATAATTATGGTAAATTATGCTGCTGAGTAGTTACTTAGTTTTCCATTGATAGTATAATAATCTGATGGATTTTATCAAATAAAAATAGCGTTCGACATTAGTAAAACTCCTTTGGATTCCAATAGAATCATTCTTTCGTATTTTTTTGTCAAAAATTATATAAAAAAAAGCTTTTAGAAAATCCTAATCTCTAGGTATGAAAAAAGCCGTTTGACTCTGAGCAGATTAGTCGTTTGTTGTTATGAGTCACAGCTCTGGCTCCGACATCTTTTCTCCTATTCTGACCAAATTCGACTTGTACGCTTCGATCTTCATATTATAGTATTGAGTAGTTTCTATTGTACTCAATCAGAACCAATAAACACTTTCAATAGTTCAATTTGCCACATAAAGCTACTGCTTTGGTCTAATCTTCTTCTTTGTCGACGATGATACAAATTTCTTTCACAATATTTTCACTCACTTGATTATTAGCTCTTGTCTGAAAGTTCTCTGGATCAAGTCCATATGTCTGCTCGACGTAGAGTGCTTTGATCCATTCTTGACTAACGAAAAGACTCGAACAAACAGGATCAAATGAAATTGTGTACGTCACGAAGTTATTGTAAGGAATAATACTTGTCGAACATGGACATGACAAAGTTGTGCCATAGTTCAAGAGAAGATGATTGAAAATGGATGGAGTGATGTTTGAGACGGTGACTATTTGAGTTATCGGATTGGCCAGAACGATAACAGTGACAAAATAAAAGGAGACTAAAAACAAAAACAAATGTCAGTAGTTAAACTCGTTATGTCCTTCAAGTTACTGTTTTTTCTCTCTAGTGTGCTGTCTGCTGTTATCTGAAAGTCGTTTTGAAGTATCTGAATTTATGTACATTTCACTTGAAGAAAGTGTCGCAAATAGCAGTATCTAAAAAGACTTGAAGTTGAGCACTCGTATCCGCACTCTGAAGTCTTCGAAGAGGCATCACCTTGCCAGTTTCCATGGTGACGAACAGAATATGGACGTAAATTTCATATCTAACTTTCGCAAAAAATTCAAATGTATGTCAATGAAGTATGAGGATTGTACTTGATCGTACGGTTTTTGAGATTTTTAAATGGGATTTCTATGTTTATGAGTATTTTGGCCCTCAGATGATTCCAATGATCCTTATACTAATCCTACCTAGGTCGATGGATCTGACACAGGTTCTGATCGATTTATATATGGAACCCGATAGAATGTAACAAAATATTATAGAATCTTATACGATTTTGTTGGAATCCGAGTGATGAAATTACTCTCGAATGTTTCGAGTCGAATATGATCGGTTTTCATTGAAAACTAAGTGAAATCCAATAGAGAACGTGGTACACAAATCTTTCGAGTAGTTTCATCACCTGGATTTCTATCGAATGTTGTTGGATGATCAGGTACGTTATTGGATTTATTTGTCTAGGATATTCGACAGTATTGAGTGGCATGAAATTTTCTACAATTTATTCCATTCTGTCAATATTCAAACTAGATCATTGTCAAATACAAGTGGGAAACAAGTAGCTCGATGGAGTATAGTACATGACAACAGATATGTGCAGCTTTCTGTAGTTCCTGATAAACTGTAGTATCATTTTGTAACTTCTACGGTTCAACTGTTAAGAATAATCAGAATCCGCTTCTTTACTTGAATAATGTCTCTCATAGTTGTTTTTACTATGTCTGAGATTTCATAAACGATCTCAGTGCAATTTTAGTAAAGTAAACAGAAATTACTTCGTTTGTAGGAGCTCGTTGATGGTTCTCGAATGATGGGGTCAATTTCTTAGGATCATTTTTCATAACTAAACTTCGTATTTTTAAA